TGCAAAATTATGCCTATATCGGGCCATCAAGTGTCGCTCCTGCGCCGCTGTTGAGTAACGTTCTTTGAAATTACCGGGATCTGTGCTGCGCCATTGATTGGAATGCGGTATTGCCGATCGGAAATCACTGAGGAATACGTCACCCATAAGCGTCGATATGACAATTGCTTCATAGAGACCATTCATTCGATTGTTGAGTGCGTCATATTCATTATTTATTTGATTATTGATTGCTTCATAGAGACCATTCATTCGATTGTTGAGTGCTTCGTATTGATCGTTCATTCGATTGTTGAGTGCATTTATTCGATTGTTGAGTGCTTCAGATTGGCTATTCATTTGGTTATTGAGTGCTTCATAGAGACTATTGAGCGACTGATATTGAAAACCAAGACGGCTTGTTCGATAATTGAGTGCTTCATAATGACCGCTCAGCCGGTTGTGGGCGGAATCAAATTTGGCGTCCATTTTCTAGATCGCATCGCGACCTCCGGTTCAGTCTCCCGCAGCCTAGACAACAATTAGGAATGGGAGAACTTCCTGCATGATGACTACCTTTTAACTGGGGTTTCATCTGATTCATGCCAAAGGCAAATCTGTATATTGGCCCTATTATCCCATGCTGCCTTTATTGCGTTCATTTGCTCAATATCTTTATCAACTAGAACAAAAATCGGAAAAATGGTTTCCTGTCGTAAAGCTAAAAAAATACACAAAGAACTTCCTCCCGCTTCCGAATCTGATTATCGTTATTACTGTCTGAAATATCTTCTGAAATGAAGCAATGGCGGTCGCAAGCATTAAAGACACTGAGTGTTTCCGGCAGGCGTTCATTCACACTTAAAATGAACTGTCAATGATTTTACAAAGAACAAACTATATGATTTGAAATTTTTACGCACAGACACCAGTGGCCTGAAAAGACTTCGCTGAAACCAGAGTAAGCACACAAACAATAATAGTTCCGATTATGGAAATTGTTGTCCGTTGTCTGACGACGTATAACCATACGTCGCTGAAAGTTGTTTCTCGGCGTTGTTGTTGGGACATTTTACAGTTTTTTTTTGACGATAGAAATGTGAGTTTTGAAGGATACCAGTAATGTGGTGATGTTTAGGAAAGCGAAAAAGTGTTGTTTATATAACCTGACTTGAGCATCAGGAACGTGACATATGATGTAATCGAATAGTGACTTGGCCCAAAAAAATGATCGGATCACGTGAAATGTCGGAAGCGTCCGAGCTGGACGTAGTACTTGTTGAACAGCGAATAAAAGTTCCTCGCGATCTACTTGTTGAACAGCAACTGTCAACTGTGAGCCTTCGCTTTTTGGACTCAGGCATTCTGCCGACTATGTACTATAAACATGTAAGGCTTTTTTCACCTCTCAGCATAGATATCTCATCAACGCTTTATAATTTCTCAATCATATAACATTAGCGTACTGTGTTTAGCTTTCATAATAATAATGATGATTGTAAGTTGTCATACCGTATTATATGATGTATTAGTGCATCTTGGTTTGTAGTTTCTTTGTATCATGGGTAAGCGTTAAACTCATAGATTCTTTGAACAACGTATTAATTATAATGATGTAATTCATGAGTTATGTCAAGAAAAGGCGTTAGTTATACTTTAATTTCACTTATGTTGATTTGAAATTGGTATATAGAAAAGGAAATTAGCCATATTACATATTAGATATGTTAATTTTGCTTATGTTGAAGGAAGTTAGTGTCATTTATTTCAATAAACAATTGATAAACATCAACGAGTCGTTAAAATAACAACTAGCTATCATAGTTTTTTGTTTATTTTCTTTTTAAGTTGTATTTGAAACTATCTTACTATTATGGTTATGGTTGGCATAACTTAACTGAGTAATCTTCGCAATTTACTAAACATGGGGGTCGTCTAAAGCGGGGTAACACAATAAATCAGTCCAATTAAAATTTTAAAGATTGGCGAAGTTAACCAATCTAGTTACAAGATCATGTGTAACATATAAAGTTCAAAACAAGCCAAAAAAGAAGAAAATTCAAATTTTACTATGATAACTAGCCTTTGACTTCTAAGTAAAAATGTTCAGCATGAAATTTACTCATATATATTAAAGGTCAATAACTTAATTAAAAAATTGTTATTAATTTGATGATTTCATGTATTTGCCCCCGCTTTAGCCATCCCCTAAACATGGTTTTGATTACGCTTTATATGGTCAAAATCTTGCTATTTTACCAAGTCTATAATACAGTAATAATGATGACGAACATTTTCACGTGATTCGAATTTTTTTGTGCCATGGCTAGAGTACTAATAAATGAATGTACAGTGGCCTGCCAAAATTTTACGACCACCCGTGCCGATCATCACATTTATTATGAGTAGAAGCGATTTTCT